GTGTTGGCAATATGTAATTGGGCCACGTGAGTTCCTTGTCTGGATCAATTTAACCCGCCCCAGAAAGAGATCCGCCCCTATTTGTCGGATCGACCCATTGTAAAAATGCTATATACCCACCCCATTAAAAGTTTCACTCTCTCTCTATCTTCTAACAAAAATCGATGCCCTCCATAGCCAATTCTTAACACAAAACCCACCACAAATCTGTTTTTTTCTTTTCCAACCCAAATCCAATTGATACAATGTGATAGCATATTAGAAAATAAATAAAGATTTGAAGAGAATTTGTTAAAAGTTACAACTTGTGAAGTAAAATCACTTAGCCGGTATAGACATTAACGCCAATGGCATGGAGGAAGATAGTGATGAGACCAAAGTAAATAATGGTAGGGAGCAAAATGGAGGCGCCGCTAGTTTGCATGTTTTCGAACTCAATCACTTTTTCACAGCCGCGAATCTGGAATAATAGGCCCGGAGTTAACAGCACGAATAACATATCTGGCGAAAATTTCATTCTTCTCCGACGATCTAAAATTTCCGACACCGATAAAATATTTTCTTCTCTTCATAACTCTATTTTTGTTCCTCATATCTACTTTGGGATAACAAAAGACTCTAGTGGTGAAGCTATACAATGGAATTGTGAAAAACCCCAATTTGTTTTTCTTTTTGAGGAATCGATAAAAAAATTTGACACCGATAAAATATTTTTATCTTGTTGATAGATCTATTGTATTTTCTTTTAGAAGCAATTCGTTCTTTCTCTGTCAGCAAGTATTGGGTTTTGACTGATTCAGTGTATGAACTTGAATTTTCCTTCTTCCATTGAGAAACTAATCAAAGAATCCATGGCTAAGAATTTTTATGTTTATGATCTCAAGACTATTAGAGGAACAAATAGTGTGAACATGTATGGAAGGAGATAGTGGTGGTCGTCGGAATCCGGTGATTATGGCTGAAAATAGGGCGCTGAAGATGGTGAGGAAAGAAGAGGCAAGGTTTTTTTTTTATGGCAAAATACATACTTTGCTCACGTAAGTTGTGCTCCAATTCCTCTTACACATTTGTTAAATACGAAAATAGTATTACACATCAAAACTTTTAAAAGTGTGTCAATAACACACTTTTTTATCATGTGTCACACACATGTATTACACATAAAATAGGCGTATGAAAACTAAAAAAAAAATCACCTGAAATTAATTGTTTATTTTATTTTTCCCTTTTTTTTAACTATTTCTTTTTCAAATTAAAGAAAAAAAAATTATAACTCATGTCTTCTTCCCCAACCACAAACCTCAATGTTTCCTCTCCTCCCCCCTCATGTTTCAGTCTTCTTTCCCAACCAGCATCCTAGTTTTATCTATCCCTCATCTTTCGTCTCTCTAACCCCCGTGACTAAGGGGAAAAAAAAACATAAGAGCTATTGGGTCTTGTAAAATTATCATTATTGACTTTTTTAAAAAGCTTGAAAATTTAGTAGGGTCTTGTTTATTTCGATGTTCCGTGACCTAAAAAATTAGTTTGAATTCGTGTGTTGAGTAAAAATTTACTTATGTAATTAATTTTGATAAAATTTAAAAAACATCATTAACAAGTTTGAAGCTTTGGTTTGAGCTTGAATTTAAAAATTGTATAAAGATTTGTTATGGATGTTGTTAAAACTTGTTAAAAATCGACAAAGAAATGAACTTATAGTTAGGGAAGAAGGTTCTTGTAATGGAAGGGTTGGTGGTAGTATGGTGGTGGTGGAGAAGATGATGGGGTTGGGAAAATGAGGAGGGGGATGGGGGGTTTCTTTTCTGTATTTTTTTTTTTTTTTTTTTGGAAGATGAGAAGAGGGGGTTTTAAGAGGGGTGGGGGGTGGGGGCAGATTTTTTTTTTAGTTTTTCTTTTCCTTTTTTTCTCGATTTGACAAGTGTCAGATGTTGATTGGTACGTGTAAGAGCAATCTTTAAACATATGTGGTCAAACACCGAAGTGATGTGTAATTGACACACTTTTAAAAGTTTTGGTGTGTAATACTATTTCCGTATTTAACAAGTGTGTAAGAGGGATTTGGGGACAAGGTCGATGGGTAAAGTATATATTTTGCCCTTTTTTATGTTATAAAATAATTGGGGCGGGTCAGATAATGGGGCGTGGTATATTATACCTATATGTCTTGTCTGACCCAATAAGCCACGTGGCCCAATTACGTGTTACCAACACATTAAAAAGGGACCATAGAAATTTCTGTTAGTCGTGGAGTAATTTTAGATTAGAAGATAACATTGTATGTATTTTCGGATCAATAGATAAACGGAGCATAAAAATAAACCATTTACCAAACGAAAAGGGTATTTTTAGCCCTTTTTCGTTTTCTCAATTAACACCAAATATGCAAAATCCTAATGATGGGTACTTTTTCATTCAAAACTAGCATGTGCTTGAAAGGAAATTTTTGAAGTTATATGTCGAATTTATATATGCACGTAACTAAGACTTTTATATGGTATATACTGAAACTGAAAACTAATTTATATGAAGGAGGTCATTTGTCGTTAAAGTATTTAAATGTAAGCTACAGGATTTTATTTATTCGAACACTGCAGAATCCTTATCTTATACAGGACAAGGAAGTCCTAATTCCTTTCAAGCGTGTGACAAATTAAAATACTTGACAAAATGACTGCACGAGAAAAAGTAATGTAACGGTAATTGACCATAACAGAAAAAATAATTTTTACATGACTATTGCATTATTTGATTGACAATATTAAACAATATTCATAGTAAGTTATGCAATAATATATGTAATATTTTATGCGAGAACATACAATATATATATATATATATATTAGCAATACGATAATTAAACTATTTAAATCGAAAGTGCCCTTAAATAAGTAATTCTTGCATAACGATCTCTTTATTATAATTGTTGTTTATTATCATAAATGCATAACAATCTGTCTGTTATAATCGCTACATAACTACTATGTGAATCAAACGACACATAAAGCATAAGCACGACAATGAATTTTCCTTTTTCTCCAAGTTAAACACTGAGAAGCTAGATTACTACCAAACATTTCGAGATCCATATCAGGATAATTTTGGGGTAAATTTCATAAATGGTCATATAATTATAACTTTTTTATAAAAAAATCAAAGTCATATAATTATATTTTCTTACACAAAAATCATAAAACTTTCACTAACTCACAAAAAATCATAATATCAGAAAACACAACTTTCCGATAGTATTTTCTTATTTCATGTTTTTTTATATTTTATTTTCAGTCTAATAAATAATAACCCAATTAAAATAGAAAAAAAAAATATTTTTACCCACTCCCAAAAATAATACTCTCTCTGTTCCAATTTATGTGAACTTATTTGACTGGTAACGGAGTTTAAGAAACAATAAAGACTTTTAAAATTTATGGTCCTAAACAAGTTAAAAAGGGGTCCAGAGTATTTGTGTGGTTGTAAAAACTTCTCATTAAGGGTAGAATTGAAAGTTTAAGCTAAATTATTTCCAAATTTAAAAAAGGACCATTCTTTTTTGAACGGACCAAATAGGAAATAAGTTCACATAAACTGTAACGGAAGGAGTTGCTGATAAAATATAGGAGTATATGTTTTTTGTATATATGTGCATTATATACATGTAATATACATATTTTATATACGTATTAGCTAGCCAATGCAATTAGTTTCGACCAGCCGACTACTTTTATATTTTTTCCTTTAAAATAGGAATGATCCAACGCGAGCCAACCCAGTACCCGTATATATAAATTAAAAATAATATTAAAAGTGAATCCTTCCTCCCAAAAAAAACTTAGTTTAGAATGCATGAGATTATAACCCAAAACAAAAAGGTATGGATAATTAGAAAGCCGTTAAAACAATAATGTTATCAATTTGATGAAAACATAAAAGATAAAAATATCGTATTTTGGAGGATTCAGGTTTAGTATTATTTTAATTTATAAATATGGATATTGTTGGGTGGGGTCTGGTCAGATTTATTTATTTCTATTTTAATTTGATTATTATTTATTAGATTGAAAATAAAAAAATAAAATACTACCAAAAATTTGTGTTTTTTTATTACTATAATTTTTATGTGAGTTAGTGAAAGTTATATGATTTTTGTGTGAGAAAATATAGTTGTATGACTTTGGTGAAAAAAAAGTTATAGTTATATGACCATTTGTGATATTTATCCAATAATTTTGATACAACAAAAGATTTGAAAAAAAAAACATTAGCAGGATCAAATATCTCAATTTAAAGGATATTTTATTTTCATTCCTTTCAAGCATATTATATATAGCTGACAAAAAAAAAAAGCATATTAGATATTGACAAGGACAAATACTGGTATGCTTGCTGCATTTATTGACTTCAGCTTAATCTCTATATATAGTAAACTAATAATAAAATCATATATACAAAAATCAACTGCTCATGAATCACGATTAAGAAGCCCAAGCTTCAGTTTTTTAATCAAAGTCTTCAATCCTCATGTTATGTTCAATATATTATTTGTAGTGGCTTTGCCTCAAAAGTCCAAATAGCATTCCCAGCTTGTACCACTATAGAAGAAACTAATCATTGCCCCCAAGCCAACGTGTATAATAACTTAAAATTAGAAAAGAATATGCCCTAATCCAAAAAGTAACCGTAAAATTATTTTTGTGTGACCTACATATTACGGGTTCGAGTCGTGGAAACAACAAATAATACGATATGCTGTCTATATCACACCTCTAATAGTGCGATTCTTCCCAAACTTTGCATAAATACGAGATACGTTATGCACCAGACTGTAATTTCATATTCTTATTGTCAAGATGAACTGAACCAGCCAACTTAATGCCACGTCTGATTTTTGGTCCAATTGGATTAGACTTGTAGAATACTAACGGTAGAAAAAGCCTGGATACCCAAGTTGCTGAGATTTTATATTAGTAGGAGTGCTATCTACTTGCGTGATTATAATTGTGACAACCCAACACGAAATTCACACGCTTTATAACTCTTTTTCAGTTCAACTACAAACAGTCTTATTCCTCCCAATTTTGCTGGTTTGATACAGCTATTCTCCTTCCAACCAATCTCCTCTGCTTCCCTCCTTTTACAATTACTCTTGCATTATTCTTTTAGCTTAAGATCTCCCAAGACTTAGAAGAAGGTTCATATCTCAAGGTAATATATCTGAATTAATTATATTTTACATCAAAGATGTGATCGTTTTGCTCAATTATAATAAACTTTTACAAAGGGAGCCTCGGCGTAGCTGGTAAAGTTGCTGCCATGTGACCAGAAGGTTACGGGTTCGAGCCGTGGAAACAGTCTCTTGCAAAAATGCCGGGTAGAACTGCGTACAATAGATCGACCCTTCCCGAACCCCGCGCATAGCGGGAGCTTAGTGCACCAGGCTATTTTTTTATAACAAACTTTTAGTTAAGGGGTAGTTTTTGTTTTGCCAATTGAGTAATGGGTAATCATTGATTTTGTGTATTGATCAGGTCAAAGAAGAAGATGGGTCGTCATCATCATCATCATAATGAAGGAAATAGACCATATGATGATCCATTCTTGGCATGTTGTTGTTGTCCTTGTTTTGTAGTTTCTTCTACTTTCTCTGTGTTAAAGAGGTGCCTCTTTGTAGTATGTTTCCCTGTTTTGCAGTGCTTTGGATTGGATGAACACAGACATCAACATCATCACCACAGACATTTCTGACAACCCCAATTTAAAGGAAAAAACTGATTCTTGAGTATAGAATTCATAGCAAGATTATGTTCTGATTTGCTCAGTTGAAATATACACAGGTTCATTAATGTTGTTTCAAGTTTCAACTTAGTTGTTGGCTAGTANCACTGATTTTTGAGTCTAGAATTCATAGTTCTGATTTGATTTGCTCATTTGAAATATACACACATTCATTAATGTTGTTTCAAGTTTCAACTTAGTTGTTGGGTAGTATTTTACCTTGTATTCTGCTAGTCTACTTTGACTTATTACCTTGTTTGTTTTACCTTGAAACCAAAAGGGATTTGCTGCCACAAATTATTAATCACAAGGTTCCAAAAATTTATTCTGTTTTATTGGGACTTGGTTGAGGTTTGTTGACTCCTATTAGTATATAGTCAAGGTGCATAGTTAGACATACCCAACCAGCTCATGTATATTCATGTTGCTTTTCTTCTTTTTGCACTTTAACGCTCCCTCTGTCCCAAAATATGTCATACTTTTTTTAGTTTGTTCAAGAGAATAATACATCTCTATACTTAGAAATAATTTAACTTAGAATTTTTTATTTTATTTTTAATGAGATTATTTATAACTACACACATGTCTATGCTTATTTGGACCACTAGTTTCAAAAGGAGTTAAGAAAAATTTTATTTTGTACCTCACAACTATATGGGTGCCAAAAATTTGTGGACCCATATGTGTAAGATATGAATCCACAAACATGTGAGATAAAAAGAGGTTTCACACAATTAGTGTCAGTTGTGTGAGGCACAAAATAAAATCACTTGAGGGAGTTAATGTAACTGAAAGGTTAAATAATAGTCTTATGTTATCTCTTCACATTTGTTGGGATCGAAATAACATGGTGCATGCAAAACTAACAATACAAAGTTTGGTGGACGATAAATCAGATGACAAAAGAAAAATATACTAAACTAAGCATAATAGTTTATAATGGTTTGATCAATTGATCTACATATGATAAAACTAATACTATAAAAGAAGAAAAACTATCGAAAGAAAAATCTCCCCCTAAACAAAACTCTTTAATGACTACATTGTGGATATTTTTTTTTTATGCTCTTGTGAGAAGTAGATATCCTTAATTTATAGATGTGCAAAACTTGTCTTCCAAAAAAAGAATAAGACATATTGAGGAGATTTAATCATTTTAAAAGTCTTTTTCCATTCCATCAAGAAAGAGAATTCTAATACATTAGAAATTTAAGGGCAAAATCCTAACCATGACTGTACCTGGGTTCAGGAAAAAATGTTTGAATCAACACATATTGTCCTTTCTCTGTCAGCAATATATATCCAGTTACAGTTTTAGCTGTCAAACCATATGTTAAGTGTCATGACCAAGTCTACAAAATAGAAACATAGTTTCATGGATCTGTACTACCAACTACATAGGCCTCAATCAACCATACTTAGTTGTCCACACGACCATTTATACATTTGTTTTTTTTTTTGTGCTAATGATAATATTCAGAATAGCTTGGGCGCACCTCAACTAATTCACTTGATGTCTACCATCTTTTACCAATATAAACATTCGATAACTCTATTCATCAAAGCTTTGACGAATTTGAAAAATTAACCTAGTGTCGCCTTTGATAGGATTCAAACCTTAGTTCTCATACTTGTCACTCCAACTCTTTGGAGACTAGACCACCCCCTTGGAGTGTAGGGGCTAATACACCTCCTTGTCAGGAATGTGAGGGTAATGACAAAAACCCCATAATTTGTGCCCAGCTGGTAATTGGTAAGTTAGATAACCAAAGGAACCTAACTGATAAGATGCCATGTAAACAACAGGCCAGCCATCTTCCAAGTGTTTTTTGCCATCTGATTCTCAGAGTTAAGCTAATAAATATCCTGTATAGACGCAAGGCAGAACAAGCATTCCATCTTTTCTTTATTATATTTTTTTTTTTATTTTATAAGAAGGGGAACTTTGGAGCATCGGTAAAGTTGTCTCCATGTGACGTATAGATCACGGGTTCCGGTGGTGGAATCAGCCACTAATACTTGCATCAGGGTAGGGTTCCTACATCACACCCTTGGGGTGTACCCCTTTCCGGACCTGCGTGAACGCAAGATGTTTCGAGCACTGGGCTGCCCTTAATCTCTTTTTATTATAAGGTAATGTAGTATCTTTTCTTAATTATATCTCGGCTATCCACTTTGTGGTTCTCTTAATCCGCCTACTGCACCATCTAAGAGAATGATTAGATACTACAACTACGCCAAACCACTTTAGTTCGTAGAGCAAATGGTGAGAATAGAAGAAGGCTCTTGTATCTTTGGAACATAAAATAGTGGCAATGTCCCAGAAGAGAATTAGATAATGAAAGAGGAAATATTTGGCATCATTTTTTGTTGATAAAATAATACTAGTATATTTTGGCAAGAAAAGTGTGTTTACAAGAAGTATACATAAAGAAGGTTGAATATCAAACTCCATCAAATCAAAAGCCTTGATACGTGACTTGGAACTGTTTATGGAAACTTGATCATTGGTTTTTATATAAAGCAGCACTTCAGTATATAATCAAGAACTTTTAGCATATCCTTGTTTCATCATCTGTCACATTAGTTTTAAAAATGCTCAAAAGATTAGTTTCCATCAAGGAGATGAAATGAGGTGTCTGATTTACTGGTTGAATTTATTATACAAATATTTTGACAACATATTTCGAGAGTAAGTTCATTATTGTAAGAACACTTCCAACTAAATTTGACACGAAACCTTCATCGAAACTAGCAAACAATGTCCAACTCCATGCCCAACTTAGAAATGAAAAAGCAACTTATGTTGCCATGTAGCATGAATGAGCATTTTGCAAATTGAACAGATAGATACTTTCTCCAATGGGACTTCAATATCTAATTTGCTTTCGGATTTAGCAAACATTCCTCCCCTAAACCATTGTAGATAACTTGCACTCCACAAACCTCATTTTCGAAAATGCAGGCATCACATAATTATATCGAAATAAAGTAGCTTGCAGCTTCAGCTTGTATAGATATTTACTCTTTATTCTTTACACCCAAAAAAGAAAAAATTAGTCCCCCAGTTGCCAATTGATGCATATTGTTGAGTGGATGCTCATTTAAAACTACTTTGACTTGGCACAAACTTTAATGAAGAAAGAAAAACTTTTAAAATGTGTAGTCTTAAATGAGCTATAGGATTTGTGTGGCTATTAAAACTTATGACCTGCCATAGCATTTGCGTGGCTACAAATGCTTTCCATTAAGGAAATATAGGAATGTCGCAATCTTTTTAAAACGGAATAATAGGGAAATAATGTCAATATTTTTAAACGGAGGAGTCTTGGTTAAGAAAGCGAATCTCAACCATGTATACTCTCATTTCTACAAATGACTAGTGGAAAATGGCCTGCGCTGACCCCGGACCCAAACCTAATAAAAGTATATAGTATTATTTTATGAAAGAAATAAAGAACTTTTCACATAGAGTAACCTATACTATGATTAATTTTTGGAGTTGTGATGTATCAATTTCGAGTACTCAATCTGATGATTTGTTATTTGAAATATACATGTGCAAGTCCACAGTTATTAGCCCTGAAAGCGCCCTGATGCATGAAGTTCTTTATCATTCTTCTATATCACCTAGAAAATTACCAGAATTTAAAAAAGAATGTGATAAGTTGAAGCATCACTATGTTGTTGTCATCTTTTACAAATTAGTAAACCAAACGCTGAAGTTACAAGAAGAAAAAACTGGCAACAGAGATAGCTTTGACCCAAGTAGGATAGATTCCATAATCTTTCACTCTGCAGAAGATCAATCTAGGATTATCACCAGTTTCTCAATTATTACCAGAGAGCACGCCGAAGAAAGAAATTGGCAGCATCAACAATAAACAATATGTATCCATGTCAAGGAACTTCTAATAATATAGCAAGAACAAAAGCAGAAATTGGAAACCTTAATAAGTTGCATGGCGAAGATTTTCACCAAAGCTCTGATAACATGTAGGAAAATAGACACAATTGGACCTAACTCAATTCCAAAAGCTAGTCATGAGATGAGGATTGCCCAAAAACCATATACGGAAACAACACACACCCTCAATCAATATGAGACATTCTAAGTAATATAGGCTATCACTCAAAATCATAATTTGCTAAAATCAAACATATGTAGGGGTTCTACCATTTTGATGATCGTGATTTATAGATTTCCCACAAAAAGGCAAATTACCTAGTGTTCTAATAAGAAAATGATCAACTTTTGTTGGCTACACAAACATCCTTTAGCTATCCCTCAAAATCATAGTTTGCTAAAATCAAACACATGTAGGAGTTCTACCGTTTATGATGGCACCAAGTTTTGGTTGGATAGCATCATAACAACTCCAGCCTTCCCATGTCACCCAATTTGATAGCACATTTTAGAGAATTTTGTAGAACATAAAAAAAAATATACATTACATTCTTAAGTTCCACCAACTCTCCTCTTGTTTGCCTCACAGAAAACAATGGAAAACAAGTGAAGCCAAAAGGTACTTATGATGGTTAATTTGGTTTACTGATGCTAACTCCAAATCCTTTCAGACCATGCTAATATTCTTCTGAAGAAAAGAATTTATTTTTGTTGTATCAATATTTTATTGATATTTATTCTTTCATCTACAACATCCATTTACCACTCCAACTACATAAATACACCACATACATATCTATTTAACACAATGGAGTTTCATCCTAATAATGCATCATAACTTGGAAGGATAGCAGAACGAAGAAAAAATTCAAACCAAAAGGAGATCACATTTACTGCTAACTCTTTCTGCAACCATTATTTACATCAGCTACAGCACCAATATGCTTTACCAACTAATAAAAATATAAATGTACATGCCAATCAGTAATGGCAAGTGGCAAAGTTATTTGGTATTTACAAAAAGTAGCAGAATGTCATTTGTGTTACCTGTCATACACAAATTGGTGGCCTTCAAAACACGCATGTATATGACATTGGAAGATGCATATAACACCCTGCAAGCAAAGCAAATGAAAGATCGATGACAATACTTTTTTTCTTCAAGAAAATAAGTTCATCAATC